CATGTAGAACTTGGGAGTGCAGGCTGCTGCCTGAGAGGTGGTAGAAGATGGAGTGTCTCCATGCTGCTTTGTTTTGGTCACTTATGTGGGTGAGGCGAGTGGTCTTACGGGTTAAACCAAACTCAGGTGGTATTTTACACTAAACCGAAAACCCACAACACTCTAAATGTAATAAAAGGGAGATCTACACCACAAAAAAGATGAACTCTAAACCAAAACGTAACAGCTTATCCCAACGCAAGAAGCTGTTAGCGAAGATGCTAACAGTAGCTTTACCAACGTTAAGTTCAAGTTACCAAGTTTAAATAAACCAAAAACACCCAGCAGCAAACAGACCAGCACGGAGGAGAGACTGCTACCACCAAAACAGCTCTCCTCATGTCTGAAAGAAGCTCCTTTATTAAGGGAGAAGCGCTCCCGGTGATTTTCTACATCTGCGATAGACACGAAGCAGCGCATCTGACCCCGGAAGTTGTTGTCCGTTGCCGGGAGACGAAGGGGCAAAACAGGAAAATAATCTAGTAGTGGACGGACGTTGTTCCGGGTCTTCGGTATTTGGCGGAGATGTTAGTGAAGGCGGAGAAGAGGGCGAACTAGAGGAAAAACAGGCAGATTCCTCCTCTATTTACAAACTCCTGGGGATGCAACAAGTGGGCGCGGTGCGTCGACTTCCGGATCTGACGTCGACAAATTTTTAGAATCGAGCCGTCGACTTCGTCGAGGCTTCGCTACAGCCCTATAGAGTGATGAAATTTGGTACACTTGTAGAACTCAACAATACGCACAGAAAAGCCTCTTGCACCCATGGTCAATATCAAACAGGAAGTCGGCCATTTTGGACTAAAGTGGCCATTTTGACCCCGTTTTGGCCATTTCTAGGGTCTATATTTGGTTGAACAGTTTGGTCATTGTTCGCACGATCGTCTCAAAAATAGTGTGTGATCGAACAGAAGCGATGGACGATTAAAATGAGACAATAAAATTGACTTTTCGTAAATACTGAAGGGGCGGGACCAGGCCTCAAAGTTCGAGCACTCACCAAAAAAATTCAAATTGCTATAATTTCATAAATGAAAGACTTACAGTTAAAGAAATGTTCTATGGACAATCGTCATCGCCCTCCGAAGAATAAAGGTAGTATAAAAGGAAGTATAAAGGTGTGGGCGTGGCTAAGCCTCAAACTTTGACCTTTCGACATTGCATTACTTGACTTAACTCCCATGTTCATCATCAGATCTATATCAAACTTTGTCTGTGTGATCACTGACCACATCTCAAGACAACGTCATTGTGGACAGCTGACATCACCTAAGCCCCGCCCCCTGACAACAGGAAGTCTATTGTTTTATGGTGAAATGCCCATGTTCGTCCCCTCTGTTTTAGTCAACATGACACTAAGGTCATGCATTGTCTTCATGATGTTGTAATGACCATTCAAATCTGATCGCTTTCCAGATAGGGAGGGGCTTTGATGCCATGGCGAGTTCTGGCATGACGCCGTGACCTTACGTTTGATCGTAACTTCCACAAACAGCCTCCCATCTGCACGAGACTGAACATGGCAATCAACAATCATGCCCTTTAGCCAATGAGACACAAACGGTTGGTGAAACTTGTATAATGTCACCACAGCGCCCCCTACACACCATTAAAACTGTAATAACTCCTACAGACGAGGTCGTAACTGCACCAAACTTGCTATGTGTCATCACACAAAGGCACCCAACACAACCCTGAGGTAATTGGTTGATATAACTTTAGCTCCGCCTCCTGACAGATATTAGGCCCTGAATAACACTTGCATGATGCAATTCACACCAAACTGCACACAAATGACTGTTATCAACCTACAAACTTCTTCATCGAATAATTCCTAAATTTGGGACAGCGCCCCCTAGATACAAAAAACCTTTGTAACTTCTGCAAAAAAGCTCCAAACTATATCAATCGTTGTGGGAGTCATCACACAACTGCAATCAACACATGTATGTGCTCACTTGTTCAAGTCACTTTAACTCCGCCCACTTACAGCTTTTTCTCTCTAGATGACCCAAGCAACGTTTGATTGATGCCAAATTAACAGAAAACCATCTTTGATGACCAAAGATGACCTCTATAGCATTTAGTTGTAAATGGTCACAACATGGGTTCAAACTTTATTAACTTCTAAAGGCAAAGTCAGAATGGCATTATACTTGGCTTGTGACATCACGTGACTGCACCAAACACATTGATATGGTTGTTGGTTCAAATCCCTGTAGCTCCGTCCCTTTCAGCTCACTGGCTCTAGATAACACACACAATGTCCGTTTGATGCCAAAATAACAGAAAACTGTCTTTGTCAACCAAAGCTGACCTCAATGGGATTTTTCTGTAGTTGATCACAGCGCCCCCTAGATAACTTTAACTTTCGAAAACTTTAATAAACATGGGCAGAAAAGCATTATAGTTGGTCTGTGTCATCACACCAACAGTGTGCTAAAGATAGAGTATGCCCTAGTGGTGAGACATGTAATATAATGGTAGGCTCAGAGGGGATGCTGAGTCAGGGTGAGGTGTGGACGAGGTGACCGTTAGCTGTTCTTGGTGTCGGGGTGGTGGACGTTTCAGTCCGTGGACGTGCCCTGGTGCCCCGAGCTGCCGGCCAGGACGGAGCGGCGGGGAGCAGGGTTTGGAGAGCGGAAGGGATGGAGCGGAGGGGGTGCGGACGGAGGGCGAGCAGCTTCGCTGCGAGGGCCGAACGGCGCTGCTTGCAGCTTTAATTGTATTTGTGTCTTCTCCAGCAGTGTATGGCATACCGCCCCGCTGACTGACAGCTGTAGCGGTGAGTGTGACATGTTGTTCATTGACCAATAGCATGTGGAGGCAGTTTGAAAAACAGCCGTAGATACTGCCCCACGACTGAGGCTCGTATAAACTGTAGATCGTGGCCAGACCATATGTTCACATTTACAGGATGGCTTACCACACAATGTAAAAGAAAGTATTTGCAGGGCAATGGCTCACTTTCCTTCAGGAGTGTCCCCAGCACTCCAAAAGACCTCAGTCTCCACAGCAGTTAGTCTTCCCTGACCCTTCCTGTAAAGGGCATCTGTGTTGTGAGTTCACACAGTCATGTGTCCACTACCTGAACTCTGAGCTATCTTCACGCTGTGATGAGGCCAACTATGGCTCCCACATGAAAGGAGGATGGGAGCTGTGGAAGTGGAAGGGTTAGGCGATGGCAGAAAGGGCTGAAGTTTTAAAAAGAAAAGCAGGCAAGGATATGGGGAACAGGGGAGATGGGTGTGTGTCTGATTACCTGCTTGATACTCAGCTTTAAAGGGGTTGGATTGGGGGGATAAACCACCAAGTATTTCCAGAGCGTGGCCACAGCTGCAGCCCAACACTCTCCACAGAAATGGGTCAAATGCAGAGATGAATTTCACCAGTGTGTGTGATGACTAATGGGACTTTAAACTTGTTGAAGAACTCGTTCACCCACTCAACAATCCTGCTGACCATCACAGATAGTCTAGCGTCAAACAAGCTCGCAGAACAGAGCCAGCAGCATCTTTTTGTTTTACTCTAGTATTGGGTAAAGAATGCTAGAGGCTAGCATTGATTTAAAAATGCTAACAGTAACTTAGAAGCAAATAGTCAGCTCTGAAAACATCTCAAGCAACTCTTTCAATGACCAACAACTCGATATTACATTGAAACGTACAGTGCTCCGCAATAATGAGTACCCCCTATATTTGTCAGAAAACCTTTAGTTTCCTTTAAGAATCAACATTCTCAATGACATAGCATAATACAAAATAATACCCTAAATGTGGGCCATTGATTGCGGGTGAGGATTTCAAAGAGAAATGCATGGTGCCTACAGAGAAGCATGGTGGTGGCGGTATCCTTATGTGGGGCTGCATGAGTGCTGCTGGTGTTGGGGAGCTGCATTTCATTGATGGTATCATGAACTCAACAATGCACTGCTCTATACTAAAGGAGAAGATGCTGCCTTCACCTTGTGCATTGGTCGCTGTGCACTTTTCCAACAAAACAATGATCCAAAACACACATCTAAAGCTACTGTAGCATTCCTGAAGAAGAACAGGGTGAAGATACTTGAATGTCCAAGTATGTCTCCTGATCTGAACCCGATCCAACACCTGTGGGGAATTCTGAAGCAGCAAGTTGAACATCGCTCTCCATCCAGCCTCCAGGCTCTAAAAGAGGTTCTTCTTGAAGAATGGAAAAAGATAGATGTTGCAATATGTCGCCATCTTGTTCATTCCATGCCTAGAAGACTTGGTGTTGTCCTCGAAAATCATGGTGGTCATACAAAATACTAGATGTAGTAGTTTTTATTGTGGGGTGTTTTCATTTTTGCTTCAACCAATTTTAGTAAAACTGAAGTATCATGAACCTTAATTTTCTATTATGGAGTTAAACAAGTGTTCACTAAAACCCAGCCTTGTGAAAACTCTGGAAAATGTTTTTATTTATTGAGCTGCTGATTAAATTTGTACTTTTTAATGGGGTGTACTCATTTATGCTGAACACTGTATGTACGAAGTGAAAAATGAGTCAAACATGGTGTTTAACTTCCTTAAATGAGTCAGTCAGAGCGATTACTGCAAGCTAAAAGCAAGACACACTTCCTCTATGCTGGAGGCGTATTACCATAATAGTGTAGTAAGTGCTCCCTACCATAAAACACCCACAAACGCTAACAAATGCTATTTATCTGTCAGCTTACGTTCTATCACTCATCTTTGCTTGTTATCTAGAATCTTCTGGTGCTGAACAGTAACTGACGACAGCCATGAAACTCACGGAACAGGAGTGAGAGAATGATGCAGTAGCTAAATTTGACCACAGTCCTTTTTATTTTAGTCCTACTTATTGCACCTTTAAATAACCAAGCAAATTAGCTTTGACTTACTATTTGGATTGGTTGAGATAAAAATTTGCATTGAGGAGGCTACAAATCCCAGAACCAGTCAGTGCAGTGAACTAACCGCTCCTCGGTCCAAAGTCGTAGCTCGCTGTGGGGTGTGTGCGTTGGGTACGTAAGGCGCTCGCTGCTGTTTCGGTGGAACTGCGGTGTTTTCTCAGGAGATAGCTGTTGCCGTAGAGACTCCAGCTCTCTTTCATACATGAGCCTCTGCTCCTCCAGAGCTGTCCGCTTCTCCTCCAGGTACTGCTTCTCCAAAACCTGGACCATGTTCTGCATGGGGTCTACATACATAGGAAAAGATGGAGGTAGAAATTTAAACATTTAAGCTTGATTTAAGAGAAATACAGTAAGAATGTTGTGGTCGAACCATTGTTTCCAAGCGTCTTCATTATGACCTCCATCTGGGCGAACTCATAGTTGTAGTCTGGCTCAGAGGAAGCCTCGCTGGCTGTCTCTATGTCCACTTCAACAAAGCTCTCTCTGGAAGAAGCTCTGTCCAGCTCTTTCAAATGGTCCCGCCACTTTTGTTTAGGAAGATTTATCCTGAAAACAATGTAAGACAGATCTTGTTCTTTCCTGCTTCATTCCTTTTTACATGCTTAAGTACAGCAACAGCAGTGAAGGGTTCACACCTGAAGAAGTGATTGTTGCCCCATAAGATACGATCTCCGTGCCACAAATGCACTAAAGAGTCCACCACTGTCCCGTTCACACAGGTTCTGTAAAGAACGCAGAGACAAATTCTTTATACATGAGAAGAGGAAAACTAATTCAAAAGCAGTATTTCTTTTTGTAGTGAGGAAACATGGATCTGATATCAAAGTGTAGGAGAGTAAGATTCCTATGCAGTGAAGTCATGTGAAACTCCAAAGTCCAGTCATCCATGAACGAGGCAGATAGGCAGACACATGCAGACCGGACTTTCATTATTTGTTGTTTAACGACTCACCTGCCGTTCCCTACAGGAATCAAGATGACATCACCATCTGGGCACAGCTCCAGGATGCAGTGCTCTGGTTGGATCCCAATCCCAAAGAGCTGGATGTCCTGAGACATGTCGGCTCCCACATGTGTGTGCTCCTACACACAGGTGGATGAGACAATGATTAAACTATACTGATGCATTTAAATATAATTCATTTCAAATGTTCTAACTGAAAAAGAAAATTTGAAGCCATTTTAGAACAGAACAGAATAAATAAAACCTTCTCAGAATCAGAATCAACTATGTTGCCAATGCACCAGCGTCCAGCAGCATAGAAATTTGTCTCCGCAGCACAATCCAACCAAGGTTAAACACACAACATGTAGACAAAACAGGTTGCAGGAAGGCCAGAAGAGCAGCCATACATCTTTTATTTCCAGCCACCATTGTAGACACTTCCCTTTAGTTCTCTAAGACAGAACATTTTTGAGCTTTTGATTTTCATGAAACTTCCCAAACTTAACAAAAGTATGCCTCAGTTATTGAACAAACATTCTGAAAGGATGTTTCAGCCCATTTTACAAGACTGTAGTCAATCCTGACTGATATGCAGGGCCAGATTAACACTTTGTTGTACCCTGGGCAACAATACTGTATTGGTTCCTGGAGGGGAACTGTAATTGTCAATTGTTTTATACTTGCGGAGGGGGGCTGGGATGGGAATATGGGATCTATGGGGCCATTTTAATCTGTGAAGCACTTTGAGTTGCATTTTTCTTTTGTATGAAAAGTGCTATATAAATAAAGTTGATTTGATCTGATTTGAATATTCAAGGGCCCCATCATCACGACCCAAGGATCACCATAATATGGTCACATACAGACTATTTTACTGTAATATGCAGTAAATATACTCAATACTTGAATGCCTGGCATCATGTAACCCGCTCAGGGTAACCTTTGACCCACCTGGTGTGGACTGACCAATGAGGAGAGGGTCTTAACTTGAGGCCCTCTGTTCATTGGTCAGTCTGCATGAGACTGACTCTCAACTGACATTCAAAGTCATAGGCAGCGAAGTCTTATGTAAATATTTAGCATATTTATTGCAAAATCTCATTTTTCTGCTTTAGTGCTGCAACAAGTCCAGAACGCAGCGGCGCGTCTGGTCTTCAATCAGCCAAAAAGAGCACACGTCACCCCTCTGTTCATTGAGCTCCACTGGCTACCGCTAGCAGCACGCATCAAATTCAAATAGCTAACAGTAGCATACAAAGTCCGAGATGGTACGGCTCCCATCTACCTGAATCCTCTTGCAAAGGCTTACGTCTCGGCCCGGCCGCTCCGGTCATCACAGGATCGTCGGCTAGCAGTGCCTACACCACGCTCAGGACAATCCAGACTCTTCTCATGCATCGTTCCACAAATGTGGAATGACCTTCCAAGCTCTACCAGAACAGCGGCTTCCTTTTCATTTTTCAAGAAACTCCTGAAGACCCTGCTCTTCAGAGAGCATCTTCTTAACTAGCACCCTCCCTGCACCCGTCCCCCCTCTCTACTGTCCACTCCTTGTTACCTACTCTCCATGACTGATGTCAATGTTGTTGTTGTTAGCCTCAAGGACAACATGCCGATTATCACTTGTAAGTCGCTTTGGACAAAGCGTCTGCTAAATACATAAACATAAACAAGGTTTTATTAATAATAAATTATTATACCTTTTGTTTTACTACAGCATCGGTACGCTTCCTGTGCACAGATTATTAAGGATGCTTGTTTCAGCTGTGAGATTAGACGATAGGATCAATGAAAAAATAAGTTGTCACACACTCCATGGAAACTTTCAGAGAATCCACAAATAGTGGCTTTCAAATAGTTTTGTTATTTTTTGCAGGTTTAGAAAAGCAGCAGATGAGACAGCATGTCTGATAATTTAGTTTTTCATCTGATAATATTAGAACATGTCAGTAATATCTGAGGGGCTTTTATAAACACCATATAACTAACACTACTGGAGAGGGTATGGATTACACAGAGGCTTCTGGGGAGCCCAGTTATAGGGGTGGGGGGTGTTCTGTTTTGCCTTGGCCCCCAAAATGTCTTGAAACGGCCCTGGGTGTGTGACTGAGTGTTGAAGGTGATCTGAATTGTATCAGATGTATAAATATTACATGTGTGTAACTTATTGCTTTATACAGGTAAAAACGTGTAGTGGAGATAAATCTACCTACATTTTACTTTTTAACACTTTGTTTTCTTGTTTTTATTTAACTATATTTTCCTGTCCTGTCTGTCTCTCATCTTCCTGCATCTCCTCTAAACTCTTCAGAAAAACTGCTGCCTGGATTCTTACTTTTTCACCTCATCAGTTACTTCAAAGATCTCCTGACCGCAAAGCGGAGAGCGCGTTTCGATGCTGCGTCAGTGAGGTGAAATCACCGCTGCACAGGTGATGAGCTCCGCAGTAGCAGAGCGCTTCAGGCACAAATAAGACAGAAAGTAGAGAACATGTGCGGACATGAACGATCGTGTGCTAATTATAGTTTTTTGGTTGCGCCACTTTGAGAATGGACCATGCGCTGGAAGCAGCAGCCTGGAGCGCTGCACACCAACGATCATCGCTATATGTGCTCTCTGCCCAGAAGAGTCCATAAATGATGTAATATAGGTAGAAAACTTTTTTTTCCAGCTCCCCTGGATGTGCAGGATATCCAGCTCCCCCATTATTCGATTCCTGCTCCTGGATGAAAAACCGGACATTTTCATCAATACAAGAACCCCCAGTCTGGACGCCCGGGACAGAGAGTGAAAAGTGTACATGTCCGGGGAAAAGAGGACGTATCACCCTAGTTTAATATAAAGCGGGAGATAACAGATATTTTGCTCGTGCCCTTGCTGCCCTGGGTCTGGGCCCTTTAGAGTTCGTGGACCCCTGGGCATTTGCCCAGTTGCTCATATGGTTAATCCAGCCTTGCTGATATGCCAGACTGGACTACAGAGGCCAGACAATCTGAACTAATCTCTTTTTTCCAAACTGAAGTTGTTTAAACAGCTGACTATGGTACTAATAAAATAAGTGACATTTTTTTCTAACTGAAACTGTTATTGAACTGACAAAGATGGACTGAAATATTGTCAAACTATTCCTGCTGTAAGCCGTACTTTTCACCAAATGTGTATAATATCCACAAAGTGATATACACAGTTGACCAAAGCCGTTATATTCGATGGGCGTGTTTCCAGCGGCCACATCCCAGAAGCTTTGTCTTGCGTTACTCATTACATTTACGCTTTGGGTCTATTTTCAGCTCTTAGAGGTATTCAATTCCGGTCCTGTAGGGCTGGTATACATCACGTTTGTAGCGTTATTAAGATCCTATTGTCTGCCCTTAACAGCTGCCCCTTCACACAGTAACATCGCCAAGGTCGGATGCTGGTTTCAGTATGTTTACATTCCAGGAGAAGAGACAGAAGAAGAGAAGAACGAATTCCATTAATTAATCAAAGTACTTTATTCGTGATAAAGCTAATCAGAGCATATGTTGATCATTAATAATCAGGTGAATGATCTGTGAAATAAAGATGTCATGAGTTATGTGTTTAATGAATAAACAGGACTGCACCAGACAGACTGATCTACATTACCATGGAAACGCATGACACATTGTTCTCAACCAATCAGAACTTTCGTCTGTGGTAGGGCAGAATCTGGGTTGTTTAATGAAGTTGTCCAATCCGGTTTACTAAGATTTGTAAACAACTAGGGGATATAAAACAAGGCAACGCCATTTTATACTCAGTTCCATTTTAACCTCAGCTCTGTTCGATCTGAGCTCCAAAGGAGTTACATCATACTCTCAACGTAGTTTTCAACCAGCTCTCGATCCATCATCGCCAAAAGAGAAGTACAGCCTGGCCAGATGTACTTTCTACTTTAAGCTGAGAACTGTCAAGCTGGAGATTTCCGTCGTTTGAACAAGACAACGTTCCTTCAAAATAAGAGTGAACTCGCTGACGCCTGCCGCTGCTACCGGAGTCGACCCACAGACGGGCTTTGTAGTGCTGCGACCGCTGTTCCACCAGCTCCAGTACATCCGAGGGTCCGAGAACCTGGCATTTCCTGATCTACACGGGAGGCTCCAAAGGGTACGTGGTTACGGCAAAATGGCGGCTCATGTCATCAGCTTCTGAAGCCTCGTGGTAGCCTAGTCATAACAACCAGATTCGCTACGCCAGCCTAGAGATTCTGAACAAAACACACACCCACACACCAACACTATAACATTCAAATCCATATGCATTCATCATTGAGATAGTCCTGGTAGATTGTAAGAATTTATAATTATAGAAATTAAAGATTCTTAAACGATCCCAGCTCTCTTTTCTTGTCTCTCAGTCAATACAAAGTGTTTAAGTAAACTCCCTGATGATAAAAACAACCACTTCTGATTATAATATTTAGATCTAATTGTAGTGTATAAATATACAAACTACAGATCACTACATTTGGCGAGCCTAGCCTGATATCTGCACAGTTTACTACACTTTGTGCCGATTTTGAGACATGTTTGGGATTTTTTTTGTTCAGTGTGAGTTCAGAGAAAAAAGGAAAAGTGAGCTTTTCCTCATTCAGCTAGGGAGACAGCTTTTATCTTGAAGGGGGGGTTGCACATTCATCACCCTCCAAAGGAGGCGCTGTTTCATCAAAATACCTTAAAGCTGACGTGCACTAGCGGCCATTTTGAGGCCTACATATGAAGGTATATTTTTCCTGTCTTGGTACGTTGAAAACTGTCTGTTTTATTATTTGTCGCTGTGTTTGTGACACTGTGTGCACATATTTGTAAAATCGGAGATAGATTTATCCCCGTCGGAAGTTACTTCTGTTCCGAAGGCGTCTGATCCGTGCCTATCCTTTCCCGGTAACCTCGCAAGCATAATAGTTAGCTTAACTTGCTAATATTATTCGCTGTAAGCCGACGTTAGACACCGAAGAGCGATTCTGCACCCCAGAGTGCGGACGCTAAAGTCCCTATATTACCTCGTCGCTAAGGCACGTTTGGTTAATCGGGCATTTTTGTTCTGGTCGCTCCAGACACTCGCTAGCATTAGCCGAAGAGCTAACTAGTCACCCCGGTTTAGACTCGGGTACGCGTCCCGATCAGCTGTCAAACTGTTCCGACGCAGCAATTCTGCGTCCTAAAATCCGCTAAACCTTCCGGTACAAAGTACAGTCGGTTCAATTAGCAGTGGTTCTTGTCAAACGCTCCGGTGTGTAGAATCATGAGAATTTGCTACAGGGATAACCGCCGAGTGACGGACAGCGCATGCGCAATGATCCGCCATCTTAGGTAACCCGACACGTAGCTCGACCGGCCATCTTGGGTAGGTCAAAAGAGAATATTTTTGGCATTACTAAACGATTTTGCCCCAAATATTCATTCAAAAGCCAAGCTTCCCTGTAACTAATTCTTTAATAAGTCTACAGGTAAGGTTGTTTCTGGAAGAATTAGTAAATTAAAGAACTCATTACTAATTTGGAAGATGGGCTCAGAGGAAACGATGCAATTACCATCCCAACTTCAGGCGGCGATGCAAAGCGCTCTCCTACCGATGATGCTAAGTGCTTTCCTGCCGATGATGACTGAGATGAGGAACATGATGAACATGTTCAGCAATTTTCAGCAGGACGTCGAGGGCGTCAAACATTTTGTGCGTGATTTTCAGGCGACACGGGCAGCAACCCCGTGTTTGGCCGAGAAGCCGCCAGATGCGACGAAGATGCTGCAGGCTGATGTTTTCACAGGTTCTGACTCGCAGGAAAACAACAACACCTCAAAGGAAAGCAACAACACCTCACCGGTCGTTCCATCCGTGGCGATGTTAGGCGATGCACCCATGGACGACTACCCCGGTACCGCTATCGCCGTGACTGACAAAGTTTTGCTCGCACCTCTGGTCGTGAGGAAGGGGTCTGATAGGCCCACAGTAGAGGTCACTGTACATCAGGGACATCGCTGTGTCGCGTTACTAGACACAGGTGCGGACATTACGCTCATGAGCGGAGGTTTTTACAACAGCATGTGCGACAAAAGGGGGGAGGGCCTCCCCCCCCCCCCCCCCCCCCCCCCACACACACACACACACACACACTCATTCCAGGCTCGATGATTTTCACTGATTTTGGTGGCGCTCCAGCAACCGCGTCTTCGCAGACTGCGATGAACATCTCGATAGGGGCCATGTCCTTAAAACACCCCGTGTACATCGATGAAAACATGCCCATTCCCATGCTCATAGGGTTGGACTGTCTCCAACGCCTTAACTCTAAAATCAGCTACAAGTCCGGACAAATGTTTGCGCGTGTGAGGAAGCCTAAGCCGTACAAACCGCCGCTTAACAAGGACTTCCGCTACTCTGTGGCCAGTCTTTCGGGTGAGGCCGCGACTACGGGCTCACCACCACGCTCAAAACCACTGGGAAAGCCCCCTGAAGTTCTGTCC